GTAAGATTTTTTGTGTTTTGAATGTAAATCGGATCAGTCTCATCATAGAATATAAAGTGTGTGAATGATGAGTAGGATTTATTACATCATGTTTATTAAAACACAGAAAACTATTTCCAACCATATTGATTTTCTGCTTCAGCTTGTTTAAGATTTTTTTTTTAACTTCTTACATGTTCTGGCCAGGCATGGCCAAAGCCTTGCTCAGAATCTGAAGTATTTTATATCATAACTAGAGGCCCGGTGCACGAAATTCAGACACTGGGTCGGGGGGGTCCCCTCAGCCTGGCCTATGCCCTCTTGCAGTCTGGAAGGCCTCAGGAGATGTTTGACTGATGGCAGTTGGGCATCCTTAGCGCTCCCATGTAAGTGGGAGAGGCTCCCGCCATTGCAGCTGCACTCGCCAGCTATGAGCCTGGCTTCTGGCTGAGTGGCACTCCCCCTGTGGGAGCGTTCTGGCCACCAGGGGGCAGCTCCTGCGTTGATCATCTGCCCCTGGTGGTCAGTGCATGTCATAGCAATTGGTTGATCTGCCTTAGCATATCATTAGTATATTACACTTTGATTGGTTGAACGGACAACCGGATGGCCAGGCACTTAGCATATTAGGCTTTTATTATATAGGACTAGAATCCCGATGCATGAAATTAGTGCAAGAGTAGGACTTCCTTCCCCCGGCTGCCGGCACCGGCTTCCCTCTGGCACCCAGAACCTTTGCATCCCTCCGGCTGCCGGCAGGTACCCAGGACCCAGGCTTTCCTCCAATCACCAGCAGGCACCCGGGACCTGGGTGTCCCTTGCAGAGGGAGGCCCTGTTCACCCACCACAGCCCACTGGTCAGTGGCCTGGGCCTCTCTCTTTGGGGCAATTGTGGAGCCCCCTGATTGATTGCCCTGCCGGCCGGTGGCCTGAGCCTCCCTCTGCGGGATGATCATGGGGTGATGGCCGGGTCTCCAACCAATTGCATTGCACCCACCTTGGCTGGCCTGGCCCCAGTGGGTGTGATAGCATGGTCCCGGACGGTCGTCAAGGTCGTCCGGATGGTCATTCCGCTGTTCGGTTTGTTTGAACCAGCATCAATACAAACATATGTGTAATGCATTTCAATGTAATGTTAACATAGCTACAATGTAACTAGGTAATAGGAATTTTCCTGCTCTATTGTGCTTTTATGGGACCACCATTGTATATGTGGTTTATCATTGACTGAAGCATCTTTATGCAGCATATGACTATATACTTTTTTTTTTTTTGGATTGTCCAGTAGGCATTTTTTACTTGAAATTTTTTGTATGCCTCTCACTACATAACTCAAATTATCTGTCATTAAGTTCATTGGTTCTTTCTTTTGAATGTTCTAGTCTATTGTTGAATCTCTCTAGTGGATTTGCAGTTCAGTCATTGTATTATTCTGCTCCAGCATTTCTGTTTGGTTCTTTTTATGATTCCTGTCTCTTGGTTAAACTTCTTATTTGTACATGTATTGTTTTTCCTGATTTAGTTGAGTTGTGTATCTCTGTTCTCTCTCTCTTTTTTTAAAATATATTTTATTGATTTTTTTACAGAGAGGAAGGGAAAGGGATAGAGAGTTAGAAACATCAATGAGAGAGAAACATCGATCAGCTGCCTCTTGCATACCCCCCCTATTGGGGATGTGCCTGCAACCAAGGTACATGTCCTTGACTGGAATCGAGCCCGGGACCCTTCAGTCTGCAGGCTGATGCTCTATCCACTGAGCCAAACTGGTTAGGGCTCTCTGTTCTCTCTTATCTCACTAAGCTTTTTAAAAATGAATTTTGAATTATTTTGAATTTTTCCAAGGCAATTATTAAATCTCCATTTCTTTGGGAACAGCTACTGGGGTTTGTTTTGTTCCTTTGGTGATATCATATTTCCTTGATTCTTCAGGTCCTTTGAAACCTGACACTGTTATCTTTACATTTGAAGAAGCAGTCACTTCCTCAACTCTTTCCTAACCAGCTTCAGTGAGCCAAGCTAGAGATACTGAAGTCTCTCAGATTTTTTTTTTTTCTATCAATGCTGCTGCTCCATTCTTCTTGTTCCCCTTGAGGGGGAAGTCTTAGACTGTGTGCCTTCTCTTGATACCACAAACCCAGCCTGGGTGCTGGGAACCTCCTACTAATTTTCCCTAGGATAATGCCCTGAAGTGTTTAATGTTGTGTACTCTCTGCCAATCTAAAAGATCCATCTGGATGCTAGTATTTATATGCTGTCTGTGGAACTTGAGTACCTCATCTGCAGGGGACTGTGGGGTTGGCTACAGCAGGGTGTGGTGCATGAAGTGCTGGGGGTGCACACCACCTCGTTGTAGAGTCTTCAGTTAGGGGTCCTACTGGATTTGATGATGGGGCTCTTGCTGGAATCTGCTATACAATTAGTAGGATCTGCTGCTGGTTGAGATCCATGTATTGGTTGCTGTGAGCTTCTACCCTTTTCTCTGCTCTTCCCTATCCTAAAATTATTCAGCTGTTCCAGTCCTCTCAATGTTATGGGTGAGAAGAGATGGCGATGGGCTTCTTGGGCAGCACCCCACAAGTCTGGGGAAGAGGAGCGCTCACTTTGCCCTCACTTTCTCACAGTCTCTTTTGGCCTTGGAAGAGGGATGACTGTTCTTATCCTTGTCAGTGCTTCTCTTCTTTTATTTATTTTTTGCTCCACTGGGTGTGCAGGAACCTCTCAGCTATACTCCCAGGCTTTCATAAAGGTATTCTCATTCATAAGTCATTGCGAAACTCGGTTTCTGTGGGGGTATGAGGTATGGGTATTCTTATTTCATCATCTTACTGAAGGCCTTAAGAGATAGTTATTAATTTCAGCAGGTCTCAAACACCCAGCGGTATTTCATAGGACATTCAAGTTACTTTTAAAAAAACATACCTTTTTATTGATTTGATGACAAGGTTAGTGAAAACTGTTACTGAATGGGAATAGGAGGACAGTAGTCAAAGAGGAATCAAGAGGCATGTGTGGGGGCGTCAGATGTCAGAGCAGGCCATGGTTTCAGTGCAGATGAGCCTGGGAAATCTTAAATGTCATGCAAGTGAAAATCCAAAGGCTAGAGAGTTTGAGGAATGGCCCTACAGAGCGGGAAATGATACGACTTAATCCTAGAAGAGAGTCTGTTTTCTGACATAAAATCATGTCCTGAAATTACTAGTTTCTTCTTGCAATTATTATAGGTGAGCAGATTTGAAGTTTAATTAACTTTTTGTGTCATTACAATGCTGGAGACGGGTTAACTGTTCCTGTCACTTCTGATTGCATTTGAGCAATCAAAGCAATTCTGTTGCCCTCAGCGTCTTTTCTTAGTGATGATATCACAGTGGAGACATTTTCAAAAAAGATTTTAATTGGATTAGTTATTGTTATGGACACTGGAGTGGAATGTGTGTACTAAGTTAGTGAGCCAAAGGAAGATATGGTGAAAATGACACATGAAATAAGGAGGTAGATTTAAATGTAAGTGAATCCTTGACTGATGGCCAAGCCCATAGTTGGATTATTGTCTCATCTAAAAGATTATGCATTAGATAACAAAAATATTAAATCTGGCATTTGTAAGCTTTATTTCCTTTTTGAAACTAAACTGAGCTTAGTTTGAATAGAAACTGAGTTTATATTTTACATTCTATAATATGTGAACATTACGTAGTACTAATATTTTTTTTTCTCATTGCTTTAAAATTATTTCTGTTTCTGTAATAATTTTCTCCTCCTAGCCTGTTCCTGGAATTAAAGCTTTTAAAATTTAATCCTGACTACTTTTGATTCCCAGATATTTATCATAATGTAATATAGTACAATGATCAATTTAAGATTTTATACACACACATACACAATATACATAGAGCTCTCTCTATATATGTGTATATTTAAAATGTAATTATATGATTATATACTCTAAATGTCAATGATGTTTTTTTTGTGTGTATAGATTTATACATGCACACACATTTGAAATCTTCATTGTCAACTATATACTAGTATTTGAAGATTATTATATGTATCCATTTTATGTTAGGATTTTTCATAGAGCTTTTATTCGATACTAACTCTTTCTCTAATTGCCACATTATGCCTAAACTTTGGAAAAGCTTCCTCTCTGTTTTAATAAAGAACCCCTAGACCCTCACACCTTTCATCTTTTCTTCAGAGACTATAGATTATCTTGACTTCTTTTGCTTGGAGACTTATATCTAACGGAAACCTTAAAAATACCATGTCGATTTTCAATAGTAGGAATAGCTGGAAGTTATAATAGATCAACAGAAAGAAAGAGTCTTACTTTTTCAATAAATAATCACAATTCAAAATTCTTTTTTGATATGTTAGTGTTAAAGTTAATTAGAGTGTATGATTTATAGTAAGGTATAAAGACATGAATATTGAATTAGATATTATTAGACCTGGATGCTTGTCTGAACTTTACCATTATTTTCTCAGTGACCTTGGGTGAAACAGTCGTAGTCATTTATCATCAATTTAACAATATCTTTGCCGCCCACTTCTTTATAGTGTTGTCAGGGTTTGATTATATATGTGAAAATATTATGTGAACAATGAAGTTCTATTTAAAGGTGAGTATTGTAAATAATAATGTGCCACGCACTGTATCAAGCATTCACATTGTTCTTACAAAATGAGACACACAATGCTAATATGAAAACTTTACACTCAGGAAGGTGAGGCTCAGATAACCTAAGACCCCTGAGTTAGCTCACACTTGATGAGCGGGAAAGGCAAGATTTGAACACAGATCTGTCCGATATTAGAACCAGTGCTCATAATTGTACAGTTTTTGTCACTCCCCCGAAGAATAATTGCCACGTAGAATTATGCGTAAACTGAGGGAGGCAGTAAAAATGCAATTTTCTTTATTATCACATCTGACTTCTGAAGCTTAAACCAAAATGGTATTTATTTTTCTTAAAAATAGGATGTTCTGAAGTTCTAACCATCCAAATGTGTTTTGCCTTTAGAATTTAATTGTCTTGGATCCGCTGACAGTGACTGAGGAGGAAATCAGACCATCCCTAGAGCAACGCCTGGAAGCCATCATCAGCGGGGCTGCTCTGTTGGCCGACTCTTCCTGCACCAGGGATTTCCATCGGGAGCGGATCATCGCAGAGTGCAACGCCATTCGCCAGGCTCTGCAGGACCTGCTTTCCGAGTACATGAACAACGTGAGTAACTGTTGCCCCATTCTGAACATCGGGTATGTGCCGAGTTTCTCTGTAGAACATGTGATAAGTGATACGTAAGTGTGTGATTTTCCATAGGCTGGCTTGCTGAGTGGGTTCTGCTCAGGGTGCTCACAGGGTGTAGCGGTGAGATTGGATTTTCTGGGGATGGAATCTAACCAGAAGGTTGTTGACATTTCATTGCTTTGTTTGAAATAGTAACTAAATATTAGTTGAAGAAGGGATTCAGGACTGGAGAAGGGAACATGGTGCTGTACATCAATTTAAAGGATAAAAAGGTTAAGAAAAGGACCATATCTTGGACTGAAGTTGGTGAATATCAAAGTCAGAATTTAGATAGTATCGGATGAAGTCATTGCTGCAGGGATCAGGGACCATTTTTGAAGATGTCAAAGAACTCATTTCGTTCGGATGGCTTGTAACCCTTTTCAAATGTTACAAGTTGTGGCAGTTTTAACTATCTTTTAGGAATATTAGGAATGCTGTCTAAATTTAGACAAATGCACAAATGTTTTAAGGTCCTTTTGCTTTCAGATTTTATGTATTCATATATTATATATTCATTCCATATATATACATTTTACATCCATCTGTGGAGTCTTACATTCAAATCTTAGTGCCATTTTTAAAATGAAGGAAGTCTTCATTGTCAACTCTGTATTGATCATGAAGCCTTTTTAAATAGAAGAGCTCAACAAAATGAAAGGTTTATAATTGGAATGGTTTGTTGATCTGCCTTATTATAAATGGAATAAAAATAGTTTCAAAACATCACTTTTTGAATGTGAAACTGAAGAATTGGGATTGTTCAGTATAAGTAATTTATGTGAATAATTGATATGTGCTAAAATTAGTGAGTTTTAAGGACTTTTCAACATGCTTGATATAGCTCCTTGTTCTTAATATTTGATGACTTTGGCACCTGACCAACAATCTCTTGTTTGTCTAGAAATCAGAGTTGTAAAGTACATTATGTTAATAAGAAGAACATGTTAATAGTGTCATGTCCTGCTTCTTAAGCTAGAATAGCCCCATTTTTAACATACAATATATTCTTAAAGGTTCTTTAAGGGAATGCATCCATTATAAAAAACTCAGAAGGTTATATTGTATTGAAATTTCTTCTCTCCTGATCTGTGTACTTGTACATTATATTTGCCTTTATAGATCAAAATAGCCTGAAGTTACATGTAAACTTATTTTATACATAAATATATAAAATTATAGATACAATTATTTTACCACATATAAAGTTATTTTATTTTTTAAGATACAAACACAAACAGATGCACACGCACATACTCATACACATGTATAGACAAGGATGGCTACATAATTGTAGAGCCCAGTGCAAAACTGAAAATGCAAAGCCTGTTGTTCAAAAGCGGGGTTGGGGTGAGGGGGTGGGAGCACCTTTTTCCTTTATTCACAGTCTCAGTTGACATGAGAAAGATATTTTTATTTGCTATTTAGTGTTAGGTTCTCTAGAGCACAGGGATACTACAGGTCTTTGTGTACTTGACCTATGACCCCAACCCACCCTGACTGTGCCAAGGAGCCTACCAGGAGTGAATGGTGGCAGCAGGCACTGGGTGGGAGAATAGGCTGAGGACCTCTGCCTGCGTGTGAGTCTAGGGTACATGCTTCATTGCCCCATAGCACTTCGCTTAATACACAACTTCAAAGGTAAAGGTGTTAAGAATATGAACACTGTGGTAGCAGAACATTAAAAACCAAAGGACATGTGTACATGCATATAAGCATAACCAATGGACACAAACAATAGGGGGGCGAGGGCCTGTATTGGGGGACAGGAGCTGCCTGGGAGAGGTCAGTGGGGGGAAAAGGAGACATACATAATACTTTCAACAATAAAGAATTTAAAAAAAAGCCAAGGCAGGCCTTTCTGAGCGGAGGGCTCTGTGCCCAGTCACAGGCCCCTGAAGCTGGTTCTGTACGTAATAAACATACGTCACACAACAATAGCAGTGGTTTTATGGTCTCTTCCACGTTGGCTTACAAACTATTTGGGTTGAAAACTATTCATACCAAAGGTGAAGGTATGGGAGCACTCTGCCCAGGGCGCAATCATGAAGAAGGTACAATGTTTCTAGAAATTTATAAAACCAACTAAAAGTCAGTCTGCTTTATATTATCACCATGTACCACCAATTCTAGATGTCACTGGTAAAATGTTTCCCACATAATTCTTCTAAATTCTAAGCAATTGGCTATAGTTGTTGTTTTAATAATATGTGTACATAATTCAAATTAGCACACTTTAATGACTATCCTTTAATAAACAGTATAGTCTTTTTGCACCGAAACAGCAGATTCAAAATTGACAGGGATGACACAATGATTACAAAGACAAAGAACTGGAGTTATTTTAGTTCTGTTATTTTATGTGATCACGGAGGTTTGTTTTTAATTTAAAAATCATAATCATGGAACTGAATTCTGAGGGGTAATATTTTTGTTAGGTAAGTGTAAATTTCATTCGTGAAATATTTCATTGAATTTGAGTTATAACTTTGAAATGTATTCTCTTTTTGAAAATTGTCTATCGCTTTAAAGTTAAAGAACAAATTAGGAAAATAATGATTATTTGAGATTGTTATGGAAATGTAGTTTTGTTATATAGAGGAGAGAGATGTTTAAAAAGGATGGACTCCCGGTATCAAATATGCTAAGTAAGGCACTGAAAATAGGTTTGCACTTTTCTATGTCTTCTTGCTCTTTTACTTATTGAGGATTTAATCTCATGTTCAGTTTCAAGGAGTCAAGTACACAAAACTTATGTTACTAATATCTTTCTGTTAGATATTTTCATTTTAAAGCAAGGTAAGTTCTGTGTTAGAAGAGTGAAGTGGAAAGCGACTTTTTTGTTTATAATAAATAACGCAGATGAAAGGAAGTAGCTTTTTTTAAAGCTTGTCCAGATCATTATCTCAATTTTATCATTTTTAAGGGTAAACTTAATTGTAGAAACCCAAATATTGCTTGGTTATTTAGTTGATTAAATTGCATTACTATTTATACTTGATGCAGGTTGTTTTCTTCTTTCTTCCTCCTTCCCGCATGTTTTCTCTTCTCCCCTCTGGCAAAGAAGGGCAAACACCCCTGGCAATATCTCCCTCATGGCATTTCCCCCTCTAGAGCTCTTATCCCGATGGGATTCCTCTGTTTGCTTGTCTGCCTGCTCCACTAGCCAGGAGCCCTAGGAGAGTGGGGACTGTGTTCCTGGTGCTTAGCATAACAGGTGCTCAGTAATTATCATTGGGATACAGGTAAATGGAATTTAGTGCTTGCTGCTTCTCAACCTTTTAAATTAAAACGACAACATGCTTGAAGCAATTAATTTGAAGTTTATTTACTGTATTTATATGATAAGTGTGGAGAAAACATGGAGGGAGGGTTCATGGTGAGAACAGGAACAGAGAGGAAAGAGCAGAGTTGAGGGGATGTTCTTTGGGTGATCTAAGAATACTTATATATGCCTTTCTCTTAGAGCAAATGTCAAATACTTGTTGAGGAAGGCATTTTTTTTCCCTTTGGAAAGAAAAGACATTGTGTGTGTGATGAATTGTTCTCATGATTTGTTCTGATGTTGGTGTAGAAGTCAGAGTGGGAGGAGCTAAATTTATGGTGGTCCACGGGGTCAGATGCCCATTCATTCACACATAATGGAAACATTTCATTGATGAGTACAACCTATTCATTATAAAAAAAATAAACTTACAGTACTATGAAAAAGCACTTCAAAAGCAATGTAATAGTTTCTTTTCATGTAAAAATGCAGAATTTTATGCCTAATACTAGTGTCTGACTGAGCTAATGAATATTAGAATTAAAAGCAAGAACCAATCTGGAAAACTGGAATAAATGATCAGAACATATTTCCAGGTTTATTTTTACTCTAGGTTTATATCACAAAAGATGTTCCCCTATCGCTGTTTCATCATCTTTAATGAAAGGAAATGCACTTTCCTGGGGGACTACCTGAACTCAAATCTTTCTCGGTTCTCTCAAAGATTTTAGGACAGCTCCTGTACTTAAGTCCTCAGCTTCCTAATTTAAGGAATATTGTTTCTCTTTTGTTGGACCTGGTTTGCTTTTCCAATTAGCAGCTCTTGTAATTGAGCTATATTGATAGAGTAACTACTTGATGATAATTCAGCTACAATAAAGATAATCATAAACACTTAAAGCAGGAATAATACTTATCAAAATCTGTAGCTCTCTTATGTGAATGTGGTTTCAAGGCTTCAAATTTTGCAGGTGTAAGGAGCCCAGAGAAGTGGGAAATAAATGCAATTTATGTTTCTTTCAGACTCAATTCACATGACCAGTTTGAGTATAACTTTACCCCCTTAAACAGATCAGTAAGTCTTAATCATTTTAAAAAAATATATTTCATTGATTTTTTACAGAGAGGGAGGGAGACGGATAGGGAGTTAGAAACATCGATCAGCTGCCTCCTGCATACCCTCTAACTGGGGATGTGCCCACAACCAAGGTACATACCCTTGACCAGAATCAAACCTGGGACCCTTCAGTCTGCAGGCCGATGCTCTATCCACTGAGTCAAACCGGTTAGGGCTCAATCATTTTTTTTTCACTGAAGCTATTATTCAGTAAGTTTATTGTCTTGTCACATTGGTAAGAAATTAGTAGGAAATGAGACCAGATGGGTCAAAAACAAATAAAACAGACAACCACTTAACAGTATTAATGATTATATATGTGGACCCTTCAGTCTGCAGGCCGATGCTCTATCCACTGAGTCAAACCGGTTAGGGCTCAATCATTTTTTTTTCACTGAAGCTATTATTCAGTAAGTTTATTGTCTTGTCACATTGGTAAGAAATTAGTAGGAAATGAGACCAGATGGGTCAAAAACAAATAAAACAGACAACCACTTAACAGTATTAATGATTATATATGTGTCACAATATTATATTATATGTGTCACAATAGAC